TGTGTATGTGTGTTTGTGTGTGTGTGTGTGTGTGTGTGTGTATGTGTGTGTGTGTGTGTGTGTGTGTGCATGTGTGTTTATGCCAGCTCTTTATTTGCATATCTAACTCTGAATGAGTTTGTACTTAAGGGTGATAACGAACCATTTCTCCCCACCCCCCACCCCCCTCAACGAAAAAACAACAACCTTAGATAAGCAGAAACGAAAACCACCACCACCACTTACAATGACAACAGCAACAACAACAACAACAACAACAACAACAACAACAACAACAACAACAACGGCTACAACAGCAGAAACAACAACAACAACAACAACAACAGCAGAAACAACAACAACAACAACAACAGCTACAACAGCAGAAAGAGCAGCAACAGCAGCAACAACAACTATACACAATCATTTTTTTCTTTCAAACCCAAGGAGTCAGCGGAGTCCTGGATCGTGGACATGTTTGGGGCCGCGAAGAAATGTGGAACTCAACGCAAGAAAAAGGCTGTGACCCCCAAGGACATCACGGTAGCCAGACAGCTGAAAGGATTGAAGTAACCAAAGGAACGCAACCAAGAGCGACGCAATACCTTGTGACGTCACGGTACACGTCTTTGGTACATCGGCAAAGGTCTACTCCAGCCCCTCATCAGCCCCCCCCCCCAACCCTCTCCAAACCCCCTCGTAAGGCTATTAGTTCTGAGGTGTTTCCATTTATGCTTGTATAGAGGGGATATAATGATGTTGATTCAACAGAGATTTAGACAAAGCCACACCATCGTCTTTCCCCTTATTCCTTATTAAGAATAGGTGTTGTACAAGTCGCAACTACAGTTTGCATACAAAACAACAACAACAACAAAACCAAACAAACCTAAACCCCCCCCCAAAAAAAAAAGCTAAATAAAACAACTAAAAAAACATAAAAAGTGGCAGTGAACCAGTTTGGGAGAATATAGGCGGATAATATCATAATATTTTATGCGCCCACACAGCAGTGGATATGTTAAAATAAGCTAAAATATAATCATAAGCGCACGAGGCCATGGTCACCCCCTATATATTGGTCTCTGTGGAGACCCAGGGTGTGCTTAGTTGGTCAACCTATTTCGGAAAGGAGGGCTGGAGTAGACCTATACGGGTAAACCGGGGGTTTGTATTTTTAAAAAAAAAGAGAGAGAGAGACAGAGAGAGAGAGAGACAGAGAGAGAGAGAGAGACAGAGAGAGAGAGAGACAGAGAGAGAGAGAGCAGTCACCTTCCGGCTCAGACACTGTCTCCGCCACGCCCCCACCACGTCCGCCACTGTCCGGTTCCTCGGAGACCAGCGCGCCAGGTTCATGACCCTCAGGGAGTAGCCACAGTCCGGCAGTGGGCACACGAACTGGTCCATCTCCCGTCCATGTCTGTGGTCAGACGAGCAAGCGGGGGGCGGGGACGGGTGGTGGCAGGAGGACGCTGACTTCTGGGGGCTGCTGTCCCAACGAGGGGCAGACGATGACCTAGATTTGCTCTCCGTCCTTGACCCCGGGGAGGTGGAGGAGGAGGAGGGGGAGGAACGGTGCGCCGATTTGGAGCGTCGCGGCATGGTTGCGGAACCCCCGCATTGCGAACAGAGCCTGGGGGTTCCCCCCACACCCGCCGGGGCGCTGTAGCGAGACGGGCTCCGTTCCACGAAGAGAGGTCTTTGAGAGGTGAACGTGCTGCTTCTTGTCAGCCCCTTGGAGAGCTGATGGTTGTTGTTGTTGTTGTGGTGGTTGTGGTGGTTGTGGTGGTTGTGGTGGTTGTGGTTTTGGTGGTGCTGGTGTGTGGAGCCTCTGGTCACCGCTCGCCGTCCAGTGGCCGGACTCCCCGCCCTGGTGGTCAGTTGTGGGCGGTAGCAGCTGACGTCATCACAGGACGGGATGTAGTCCACATTGCTGGACCAGTCTGCCGGGTGTGGGGAGGAGGAGGCAGAGACCTGGGCACCAGCCACTGGCGGGCTCTGAGCGGAGTCTGGACTGACCAGTGACGTGGACGGTGTGACGTCATCTCTGCCGGCTGACCTCCCGTTGCTGGTGGACAGGAAGTCGTCTCTCTCTCTGTGCTGCTCCCTGGTCACCTTGCCCTTGTGCAGTATCTCGTCCTTGACCTTGGCCAGACACTCACTGCAGAAGGTGTGTCCACAGGGGAGGACACGCGGTCGTTGGAACAGCTGGCCACACAGGTAGCACGTGAGACAGGACAGCAGGCCCGCCGGCTCCCCGCCCACGCCATCACCACTTACAGCAACAGCAACAACAGCACCACCACCACGGACAACAAGGGCACTGCTGTCACCACCTCCACCTCCACCATCACCACCTCCACCACCACCACCTCCACCACCACCACCTCCACCACCACCACCTCCACCACCACAACCACCACTAATACGAACAACAAGAGCATTACTACTACCACCATCCCCACCACTACTATCACCACTATTGTCACCACCAACACTGCGAACAACACTACCACCACCAGAAGTCCACGAGGTATCCATGGTGATGAATCACGAGAGTTCTTTGTTGTTGTTGTTGTTGTTGTTGTTGTTGCTATTTTGTTCGTTGTTTTTTTGTCAGCGTTCAGTTAGAACAGCACTGGTCATTTCCAAAAACTGTGTCACGTGACATTGCTATATCAAGCCGCCAGATAGCAGCAAGCAGACGACCGATGTCTAAAGGAGGCAAAACAAAACTTCCTTTTTAGAATTCCACAATGATATTCTAGCTTACACACAGTGTACTCAGACTGTATGTATGACATTCTAGCTTACACACAGTGTACTCAGACTTCCACTATGACATTCTAGCTTACACACAGTGTACTCAGACTTCCACTATGACATTATAGCTACACACAGTGTACTCAGACTTCCACTATGACATTATAGCTATACACAGTGTACTCAGACTTCCACAATGACATTATAACTACACACAGTGTATTCAGACTTTATGTATAACATTATAGCTACACACAGTGTACTCAGACTTCCACAATGACATTATAGCTTACACACAGTGTACTCAGACTTCCACAATGACATTCTAGCTACACACAGTGTACTCAGACTTCCACAATGACATTATAGCTTACACACAGTGTACTCAGACTTCCACAATGACATTCTAGCTATACACAGTGTACTCAGACTTTAAGTATGATCATCTCAGTCCGAAAACGTTTCTCCCAAGGGTGTATAATATATATATAATATATATATATATAGTGGTATTATCTTGAATATTTAGCAATCCGTTGTTTCCGTACAATAAATACTCACGTCCTCACTACCCCGAGTGTTTCCCTGACCTAGCAAACGGCCGACTGAGCCACACACACATCACATCTGAGGGAGTTCTTTACACACTACACACTACACACTACACACCACTTCTCCCTACACAGGAGTTTTTTACACACTACACACTACACACTACACACTACACACTACACACCACTCCCCCTACACAGGAGTTCTTTACACACTACACACTACACACTACACACTACACACCACTCCCCCCCTACACAGGAGTTCTTTACACATTACACACTACACACTACACACTACACACTACACACCACACACTACACACTACACACTACACACTACACACCACTCTCTCCTACACAGGAGTTCTTTACACACTACACACTACACACTACACACTACACACTACTCTCCACTATACGGGACTTCTTTACACATTACACACTACACACTACACACTACACACTACTCTCCCCTACACACCTCAGAAGGTGAGCACATTCACCAACCCGCGTGCGCGCGCATCATAATGTGTAGGTGTGAGCGGCTCACGTGCATTGACTGTGGCCCCACACTTGTGCCGCACCACGGGTGGTTGTAGGGTGTCACTGGCAGGTCCCAGCTCCCTCCCTCCTCCCCCTTTGTCTCGGTCTATCTCTATCTTACTTTTCCCCAGCCCAGAATGACCATCACTATGTCGATAGGCTTCTTTTGACACACACCAATTGACATTTATTGTGTCTATTTGTGCTTCTTTCGACACGCACTAATTGACATTTAGTGTGTCTATTTGTGCTTCTCTTTACTCTAACCTGCTTGCTCAAAAATGTATTACACATGGAACCAAACCACATCAGTGGTTGACTAACTACTTCTATCACGTCAATTAGATGAAGTGGTTAGAAAACATGCACCATAGACTGACAATGTTACTGTCCTTCTCAGACCAGGCACTTGGATAAGGCGAGATGTCAAGGATACAACAGGGTGGGAGGTGTGCGTTGGTTCACCTATACACAGATGGAAAGAGAGGCAGAGACAGACAGAGGGAAAAGATACTGGACAAGATGACAACATGGCTAGGAGCAGCAAGAACAACAGACACCATTGCTGCAAGCCAAGACACAGTGAAGTGAAGGTCCATGATCGCCCACGCCAGTCGGCAAGGCATCGGATGATGATGATACCCTGATGTAGGGTGAGAAAGTGTCTGTTGGTTCACCTATACCCTATTGTAAGGTGAGAAAGTGTCTGTTCACCTATACCCTGATGTAGGGTGAGAAAGTGTCTGTTCACCTATACCCTGATGTAGGGTGAGAAAGTGTCTGTTCACCTATACCCTGATGTAGGGTGAGAAAG